GCACTTGGCAGTGAAGTGAGCCCTGCTAAGGAGGAATCCAGGTTGTTGAGTCAATGATTAGCGTGCAGCCCTAATCTGGCCACTTTGTTCATGGGAGAAGTGAATAAGCACTGAGGTGGCTGACATCCACAGTGTGCCACTTTGTCTACCGGATTAACAGCCTCCTCTGCATTTGAGTATCTTTAGTGTACCTTCCCATTCAGAGAAATCCATGTGTCCATATACTTCTTCCCCACACTTCCTTGTCACTAATCTTCCAATCCTATTCCTTCCAAGTCCCCATCCATCTAGACAAAGCATAACTGTCCATTCTGGTCATCCCTCACTTCAGACATGGTAGCTAAAAAAAAAAAAAAAATACTGTTTGCATTATATTGTATTCATTAGCAGATTTTCCTTCACCCCTAAATGGGGCTGAGGAAGCCACCAGTTATGTAGGAGGTGGATTCTAAAGAAGCCTTCTATGCTTCAGGAGCCTGACACCAAGGGGTAAAACCCTTCTTCACTTCAGTGTCTCTCCAGCTCTTTTAGTTGACAAAGTCTTACACTGTGATAGCTAGCAAAAGAAGCATATTTAAAGGGTCAGGATTCAGCTTCACACAGCAGGTATAAAGAGTGAATCAGAACTGAGAGCAATAACTCAGTCACAGTACAGGGACTATGTTATTTCCCCAACTTACATCAGAAATGTACCTATCAATCCTGTGGCTACTGCACCTCCCATTTGGACCCACAGGATTTTGGAGGTAGGCAAAAAATAGAAGTAGTTCCCCCATATAAGAGAGAAGTCCTCTTCCAAAAAGAAAAGTTCTGGGCTGACAAAACAATAAATGTTCCCTACACACCATTCTTTGGCTGCTTGTGTGTACACACACACACACACACACACACACACACACACACACACAGAGTTTTCCATTATCTATAGTTTCTCTTAACATAAAGCAACTATCACATGTACAATTGAAAATGTTCTCAATCCCTATACTTTAGGAGAAGAAACTTGATGTCACTTCCAGCCCAAATTCAGGATCTTTGCGTATAGTCAATCTCGATCAGGTCCAGTAATAGCTAAATGGTGAATAATAATTTTTTCCCAATGTACAAATATATAATAAAGGGGGGATGAGATAATAAAAATGAATGTGAAGGGGCAAAAAGGAGGCCAATATGCAATGGTTGTAAGCATATACCATAAACTGCTGGACAAGAATAATAAGGGTAAGAAGGATATCACTTCTCCAGCAGAGACATGAGACCTTGGGTCAATCAAAGTGGCAAGACTTCCTTTGTCTATTATTCTCAAAGACCCTGCCTTAGAGAAGTGTGAGAAGAAATCTCCTGGGACTGCCTTGACAACTGAATTCATCTCTCTTCAGATTCAGAGACTGGGACATTATCTTTGAGGCAGCATAATCAGTAGATGCCTTTGCCAGGCTGAGGTCTCCTGGCAATACCTTAAATCTTACTTGGCTTTCAATCAATGTCATTTGGGGAAAATCCATTAGCTTGTTATCAGAAACCTCACTGAGACGTGAGCTTTGAATATGGACTCTGCCCTTCTGGTTTCTATCTCTTGGAAACTGGCCTGGCAGCTCTGTCAATCTCCCTAGATCTTAGTTCACTATCTTTGTCATAGTCTTTATCTGAGGGCAACCAGAGGGAACAGAATGGGGTCATAAAGCCAGGTTACAGCACCAGATTCTATGCCCTAAGCTGTATACCCCTCGCCTGGCATAATGTAAGGGGCCTCAGCAGAAGGTATTTGAGAGGACTCCTGAGGGATGAGGCATTCCTGGCTCTGCAGGGTCTTCACATTCCTAGTGCATTAACCTTGCGTGGGGCAGAAATTTTAGTTGTGTCAATGGACAGAGTAGATATCTGATCCTTATCAGTATTAGAGAATAAACCACTGGTAGAAAGGCCTCCTAACAACGCTGTGTAAGCATCATCCTACTATTGCCTACCTCTACATAAAGGTCATGCTGAACCAGTCTGTCTATCTCATAGTACTAAGGCCAGCAAGCAGTAGCTAACATATTCCAATAGACTATTTTAAACCAAGTTCATAAAGCTAGAGCCTTAGTGAGCATAACTATTTGCAGTGAAGGATCAATTTTGTGTTTCTAGTTACCAACCAAACACAGAAAAATGCTTTCATAAATTTGAAACTGCATGCTTAGTTGCCATAGTAGTGTCAAATAATTGAAAGTTGCAAAGTGCTCCTCTCAATGTCTATACCTGTTTCATTGCTGATAAGTACAGTTTGCAGACTAGCTTTGGTCTATACATCACATTTTAAGTAGCACTGATCTAACTGATAAAGCTCACTATTTGGTTAGCCAGCCTATGTGTCAATTTCTGTATTAATTGAGAGTCTTTTTAAAAATATATATATATTTTATTGAATTTTTTACAGAGAGGAAGGGAGAGCAATAGAGAGCTAGAAACGTTGATGAGAGAGAATCATTGCCCAGCTGCCTCCTGCGCACCTCCTAATGGGGATGTGCCCACAACCAATGTACCAGATTGACCAGAATCGAACCTGGGACCTTTTAGTTCGCAGGCCGACGCTCAATCCACTGAGCCAAACCGGTTTTGGCTTAATTGAGAGTCTTGATTCAGAACATCACTGCATATTTTAACCTTATCTAGCACCTGAATAATGAAGCACATTATAAGTCCAGTGGAGCCCATGGTCTTTATCTCACTGTCTTCTTTCATGAAGTGAATTCCTTTGTCAGGAGAATGGTGTATAGGCGAATGTGATAATGTATAAACACTCAGTAAGTCTGTAGATGGTGTTTGCAGCAAAGCCAAATCCAATTCCAATACAAGAAACTATTGTAGTAAAGCAAACTGTTGACTGATCTGTGATAAAATTGAATCCAAAGTAATTGATGTGCTTGATATCAGGTATCTGCTGGCCCCTTAGAAGGAAGGTGCTTCCTAAAGATCTGAAAACTGGGTCACTGTTGCTGTAAAATCGATTTTCAGCAGTTGCAGGAATCACCAGAATAAAGCCTTTCTCCTACCACTCATTCCTTGGTACATCAGACCATGATACCCAGCAGCTCACAACCCTCATGTCCCCTAGCGCTTGGAAGAAAACCCAAACTCCCTTCTATGATCTACAAGGCCCTGAATATTCAAGACCTTAGCTTCTCTCCAACTTCATCTCATGTTGCTCTTCTTGCTCTGACCAGGATGCCCTATCTTAGCTAGTAACTCCAGCACAGCAAACTCTTAGCATATCCTGTTCCCTCTGTCTGGAACACTATCCACATCCCTCCCATCCCCATCCCCTTTAGAGACCTGCTGAAACGTTACCTCCTGACAGCTGTCTCCCCACTACCACAGACCTTACTTTGTAATCAGGCCCTTCTCCACGCTACCTAACGCAAGCTGTAATTATTTACTATTATTCAAAAAACAATTTAGCACAGGAATTTAAACAAAACGGAAATGCCATATTTCTGCAGAGCTTTCAAGTGCTCAGATATTTTTTCTTAACACTCAGAGGGGGAAGCAAAAGATCAAGAGGCATCTTTGAAGACTCATTAAATAATGAAATGTCCAAATGGTTTCCTATACCCATAACCTCCCAGAAGTCAGCCCCTGTCTTCTCTTTCAAAAGGAGAGCGGCATTATCCTTTTTCATCTACGATTCACATCCATCGCAGGCCAGGCAATCAGGGAGGCCGCCTCGTGGCCTTTTATTAAACCGGAGGCCCGCGCAGCCCGGGGGTGGGCTCCGGGCGCCGCTGGGTCCTACGTCGCCGGGGTCTCCGGGCGTTACCTGGAGTCTCGCTCCCGCCCGCAGCTCTCGGACCGCAGCCGTTCAAACTGGCGACAGTGCCCCCTCGGGGTTCCCCGGGCCGTCTCCTGGTTACGAAGGGGTCTCAGTCCCCAGGCGCCCAGCCTTCTCGTGAGCGCCCTCCTGCCCGGGCTGCCTCTGCCTCCCCGCACCCGGGCCCAGCCTCGGCCGCCCCCTCCCACGGCCCATCCTCCCGGCGTCCGGCCACGCGGCGCACAAGCCTCCGGCTCCCACGGCAGGTCCTGGCCGCAACCAGAACTAAGTAAGGAATCGAAGAGACAGGAGACAGTGTGTGACCTGAGGTCCCTGCTCATCTATCTATCTATCTATCTATCATCTATCTATCCATCCATCCATCCATTCATCCATCATCTGCCTGCCTACCTATCAATGTATCTATCGACCTTCCTATCCACCCCCCACCCCACCCTCTTACCTAATCCATCCATCCATCATCCATCCATCCATCCACCCACCACCCACCCACCATCGCTCTCCTGTAGAACTAGGATTAATGAGAGCTTTAACTGGAAAAAGCCAAGTAGGACTCCCCCCTCCCCCCCCCCCCCCGGCAGAAAATGTCTTAGAAAATGTAGTTTTAAAGTCTAGCTTTACTAATTATGTTACATGGTGGAACTTTTCTATAAATTGAATGAGCTCACGAGAAGGCTCCAAGGTTTCGACAAAATTGAAGTCCACTAGTATTACACTTTACACCAAAAATTACGTACTTGAGTTTAGGGATCAGCCAGATACGCACAAGGGGTACAGAGTTGTTGTTTTTTTGTTTTGTTTTGTTTTTTTCCCCCAAATCTTTTTAAACGGCTCCAGCAAAAGTCTGAGCAACAGTACGGCTCCCCAACCCCTACCCCACTCGGACAATCTCGTGGGCAGGTGGGGTCGGAGCTCGGGACCAGGAAGGAGGAAGCGGAAGTAAGCCAAAGAGGGCGGAGACAGAGGCGGGAGCAGTGAGAGCCGGAAGTTGGAGGCTAGAGAGGCAGGGAGGAGGGGGAGCCCCGTGCGGTGACGCTCTAGCACCGGAGCGCTGTCTCTATGCTCCCCCGCGTCTAGTCTATTTATTGTCGCGGGGAAGCGGCGGCCGCCCCGGACCCGGAACAACAAAGCGCGAAAGAGGGAGCCCGTGCCTCGGGGGCTCCTAGCAACGGGCCGGGGCGGGAGTTCCATGGAGACTGGAGAGCGCGCCCGCATCATCATCCTCCTCGTCCTCCAGCTTATCCTTCGCGTCCGCCGCCACCGGCATCAGCGCTGCCGCCGCGTCCTCTGCCGCCGCCCCCTCTTCCCACGGTAACCCCGGGGGCGCCCCTCGGGGGGCGGGGAGCGGGCGGCCCGAGTGCGGGTGCGGGGCCCCGGAGCGGGGCTGCGAGCGGGGCGTGCGGGGGCGGGTCGCCGGAGGAGGGGCGCTCCGGTTGGGAAACGGCTCCGGGAGTCCAGCAGGGACGGACCTCGGGGGATCTCGTTGGGGGCGGCGAGGTGGAGGGTGGGGCGTCGCTGCCGCGGAGCGTCTTCCAGCGGGGTGTCGGAGGAGAAAAGAGGTGTCTCTTTCTCGTGCTCGCCACCCCTGGGAGGGGAGGAGAGCCGGGAGCCGGAGATTCCCTGCCCGCCTGCCCGTGTGCAGCCCTCACCCGGGGAAGGAAAGGTCGTGCAAAGATGCTCAGGGGGTGCGTTTGTTGCCCAGAAAAACTTGAGTGGCCTCTGCCGCGACCGGAGGGCTCCCAGATCTCATCCGCGTCGAGAGACCCGCTTTGTTGTTACTATTTTTTTTATTATTATTATTATTAGCCAAAAAGATGTGAAGAAGGATCTAGAAACGGAGGAAGAGAGAATGAATTGTGGGTAGGGCTGAGCCGGGACGAGGGTTGGTTGGGGTAAGCGCTTGATAACGGGAAGAATCCTAAAAGTGAATGCAGTTGGCAGCGACGGTTTTTTAAAACTCTCTTCTGCTGAGACGATGTGCCTCTGCGGGTCGCGTCAGTGTGTGCATGGCAGCCAGGCGCAGGCTGCAGCCAAGCCACATCTGTGAGCTCCGAGGCTGCATCTGTCACCTGCGGTTCCCCAGCCACACTGCCAGTTCGGCGGCGTGGGCTTGTGTGTGAGCGTGAGGAACAGTGTGCCTTCACATCGGTTCAAGAAAAGGAAACAAGCTTGGGGTGTGATGTTTGTGGGAAGTAACAATGGCAGATTCTCTGGGGAAATTGAAAAAAAAAAAGAAATATCTAAGATCCATATTATAAATATCTATAATCTGCACTTTCTTTGGAAGTTTAAGGAGATGGTCAGTTAATTCCAACGGAGAAGAGGCTTTGCTTATCACTATCTTGTTTAAAGAATTACTGTTTCATTTGGACAGTGCAATCCTGGTACGTCCAGGTCTATGCTGCCTCTTTAAGCCTTACATCACTAACTATTTAAAGGTTTTATATTTTCCAAAACTATACTAGGTCAGTGAATGAGATTTTTCCTATGGCATACTGAAAAGGCCACATATACGTACCACAATAATATCGTTTTTGTGTTCAGTGGGATCAAAGCTCTGTACATACACTGAAGATTAAGGATGAGAATAAAACTGATAAGTCACAGAAGCAGTTATGCCAAGCACAGCTTCTGTTTTGCTAAGCCTGACTTCTTAAACAAAAAGGTATCATCCTTATGTCCAGCCCTCTCTGTTTGTACACTCTGCCCTCAAAATGAGCCCCAGAAACTGTAATGATCTACTTACTGTGTGTTCCTGAATTTGATGCCGGAATACTCGGGCTTTTTCACGCAATAGAAGTTCAATGTCTCTTGCTAAAGGATTTTCCTGTGGAAAGTGGTGGGCAGTTTCCTTTAACAAAGATGGGAAGTACAAAACACTGGGAAATTTAAAATTGCATTTTAAGAAGAAAAACATGATATTGTCATCTTTAGGTTAATGAATGGATTGTTGCATAATCTATATAATAAAAGGGTAATACGCAAATTGACCCTAACGGCAGCACCACCGCTGGACCAGTCACTATGCGCTTCACCGACCACCTCTTGGTTCCTTTCCTCAGCCGGCAGGCTCCCATCACCTGATGCCAATGGGGAACTGGGGGTGCGTGGCGGGAGGGGATAGGGCTGCTGCAGGCAGCTGGGGAAGATGTCCTTGATAGCAGGCCAGGCCTAGGGACTGTACCCGCACATGAATTTCCTGCACCGGGCCTCAGTCTTTTCATATAGCTGTTCTTCTGTAAAGGCTGTGCTGGGAGATGATCACACGTGAGGCTGTTCGATGGGCAGCCCCAGAATTTTCATAGTGTATACAAGACCATGAATTCAGTCCTCCGTGTTAAGGCTGCCATCACACTCAGTTCACCTGGACCTCTTAGCTGTTGCCTCTGTTCCTTCTATATTTGAGTTGGCGTCAAGCCCCACTTTCCACCTTTATCCACAATCCAATTTTTGCTTTCCCTGTTCTCTGCTGCAACCCTTCCAACATTTGATGTCTTTTTTCCTCACCTTACTTGTGTCCTAATAAAAAATAGGATTATTTAATGCTATTTGTATTGCTGTTTCTTAGGAAGTTGTCATCATGTGGTTGGTCTGTATATCCTTTTCATTAATGGCACTTCGTGTGTTGTATATTCCTTCTGTGCCCCTCCCCTTTATTTGGAGAACTGGAGTGGTCATGTCAGTGGTTAGGTTCTGTATTCATTCTGAATAGGTGTTGATTGTGCAGTACAACAGGTAAGAGCCTTAGGCTGAGAATAAACAGACTGTATGGAGATAAGCCATGAAAAATATTTAAATTTTTAGAATAGAAGGTGTTTTAGAAGTTCAGAAGAAATATTGTGATTGTAGACATGGTCACTTTTTTTTTAAAGATAAAAGACTATTTTGGGTTATTTATTCAAACTTAGATTTTCCTAATTCTTAGTCTAAAAAACATTTAACATCAGTCTTTTCTGATCATTATGCATCTGAATGTTAGACCAAAATTACATTTTGCCAGATTAGGGGGACAATTGAGGTGATTTCCCCAAATTTTTCTTCATGTGGAAAATTTTTGTGGATGCATACATATATAGAATTTGTTATAAAGCAGAAGAAATACATATAAGACATAGAGCTGAATATTTTTGAAGAGTGTTATTTCTTATGGATGTGGCACATTTTAAAATCATCAAATATTGTATAATACAATTGAGTGGGTATCAGTGCTGTTTTAGGTGAAGTAAGCCGGTAATAACCTGGTGATTCATTTCATTCTGTTGCATCATAGACCATGTAAAGAAATTAGTGCTAAGAAAACTAAAGTTTAAATCGATTTTAGAATAATTTATAGAATAATTTATAGTAGAATATCTCTGAGCTAAAACCTCTAGTGTTTTGAAAATTTAGCTATATTATGATTTTTTTAAATAATAAATAAAGATTTACTGTAATTTATACCCATACTTGTTGCACCTTTTATAAACCTGATGTCACAACAGGTGTGCGATGAAAAGTGTTTCCCTTCTTGTGCCTTTTTTTTGTATTTGTAGATAGCAGAGAAATGACATGCATGGACACCAAAATATGACAGACAAAATTTTTGAATTTTAAATCTTTTATTACATACTGCTTGGAGTTATAGTTACTGGTGTCAGGATTTCATCCATATCTGCTAAATTAGAAGTTTACTTTAGGTTTCGGACTATGACTTGTCATCATGTTGTGTATTCGTGTGTGTGTGTGTGTGTGTGTGTGTGTATTTTGAAGTTTAATATTAATAGAAGGATATATTTCTATTTTACTTTAGGGAGTTAATCTAGTGGATGAGGGCAACTTTTAGGCATCTAATTAATAGTCTAATTCTTGATCCTTAAAATGTCAACTTTTTATACTAGCTGCTAGTTATAAGCAGCAAACATTTCTTGAACATGGTTAGAGTTTTTGTTTTTTTTAACCAATTCAAACAATAGAAATAATGGTTTACTGCCCTGGCCAGTGTGGCTCAGTTAGTTGGAGCATAGTCCCCGTAAAACCAAAAGGTGGCAGGTTTGATTCCTGGTCAGGCCACATACCCAGGTTGCAGATTCCATCCCTGGTTGGGATGGTTGAGGGAGACAGCTGATCAACTGATGTTTCTCTTTCACATTGATATTTTTCTCTCTCTCTCACAAAATAAATAAATAAATAAATAAGTAAATAAATAAGTAAATAAATAAGTAAATAACAATAGTAGTAGTAATAATAATGGTTTATTGCCTTGAGTAGATACAGTATTCTTGTCACAAGATTCCCAGTTTGAGAAATTTCAAAAGGGTGAAATTATATACATATCTGATGTCTTTCAGGCCACTTAGTAGCAATCAACCTTTTATTTAGAAGAGAGATTGTGTGTGTGTGTGTGTGTGACTGTGGAAAAGCAACATTCCAGAATTATGTCATTATTCTAAAGGAATCGGGTCATATCAGAAATTGTATACATCTGGTTTTATCTTTTGACTAAAGGGTGATAAAATACAGAATTTGCTTCAATGGCTAGTTTTATACTGGAAGCAGACTTCTGGGGATCCCATAAAATGTTCAAGAAAACACACACAGAAGTGAACTCTGGGATGGTTCAAATCAGAATTCATGTAGGAGTCAATAATGAGATTTTTAAATTTCACCCTCCAAAATGCAGCACAAAAGTTTGCCTAGTGACTTGGACCATACAATATTTATCCGTCAAGAGGGAATACTGAAAATCCCATTGTGTGTTAAGGACAGAGATTTCTTGGGACATGTATGGATGGATGGCTTTAGTACTTTATGTTGAGCACCATAAACATCTGTCTATAGACATCAGTCCATGGTATGCTTTTGTTTTTTAACTCACAATTTTTAAAAAGAAGTAAAATCTTATTAATTAAATGGTGTTACTCTTTCTCTTTCTGATAAATTACAAATATTTTCATTGAGACAGAACAGTTTTGATCAAAATTAGTTATGCTTTCTTAGAATTAGTGTAGAGTTTAAGAGTATGGCCTCTGAATACAGCCTGCTTTCAGGATGGTGGCTGTGCTGCTTAATATGGCCTTGAGCAAGTTACCAAGTGTAAATGCTGGGAACAGTGCTCAGCATAGTGAGATGGAAAAGTATCCACTGGTGCTGGAAGCCGTGGTACTAGGGAGTACATTAAAGGTGAACCATTAGATCGCTTGAATGCTTTGTGTCCTTGATTTAGAGGCTTTCTATGAAAGCATTGAAATTCTTTGTGAGCACTGACTGTTCGACTCATCTCTACTCTTAAACTTTGGTAGGGGAGGGGGAAGCCCTTGTTTTAATTTTTGAAT